CAGGTACGCTACTGCAGTGAAGCAACTTTTATGAGCACAGATTAATGAGACCTATTAAAATGGAATTATTTGGTCTATTCACTTCCAACAGCTACTGGATAAAATTTTTTTTAATTTAAAATTGGTTGTAAGTGTTCAATTTCAAATTGAAAAAAATTCCACATTTGCAACTATGTCTCAGCTACCTTTCATTTCTTCCTTTTATCATATTACTTCATTTTAATGTGAATTTAAAATGCGTTGCTTTCTCAATTAGCCAGTGAGATGTTCAATAAAGAATTGGGTTAACGTAAGTTATATTTTTAGAAGGATATTAGAGGTTTTTCATCCATTCCGATCGATGACTGTTCCCCTAGTACTTAATTAGTACCCAATTCTCTCTAAGCTGTTCTTATTTTACTTTCTTTTCTTTTCTTTTTTGTCTCTCTGCCCCCCTTTCTTTAATTTTAAGCTGGCTCACAATATGCTTTGTGTATTATATACAATTTTGCCAAAATTACTAATATTTGTTAAATTTTTATTGGATTTCTTCTTTAACAACAAGAGACCAACACAAAACAGAATCTGAAAAGGTCAAATTGAATTCAGTTAACAGACCAGTACTTATTTGTGTGAAAAAATCTTGGCTTTCTTAAAGAGCTCTGCAGCTTTACACAACTGGTTTCAAAACTGAGCTTCTAAACTTATTAGCTATTGAGAATAAAAGGGAGATGTCAAAGGCTTTGATTTTATTGCATATAGGAATTTATAGCCAATCTTATTTCCTGTAACAGCAACAGAAAAACCTGACCCTCAGAAAACACGTTCCGTGAAAAGACAAGGAAAATGGAAGGAAGGAAGGAAGGAAGGAAGGAAGGAAGGAAGGAAGGAAGGAAGGAAGGAAGGAAAGTAGGGAGGGAGGGAGGGAGGGAAGGAAACAGGAAGGCTTTAAGGGGATCTCCTTACTCAGGCAAGTCTTTCCCTGTTGCTTCCCCAGAAGGGATGGCGTCCCCTCGACATTTCATTTTGGCACCAACCCTTGGAATTCCCAGTAGAGGAATATGGAGTATGGAATTCTTATGGCCCTTCGAGGACAAGGTAGGTGTCCCCGAGAGCACACCCTGCACTGCAGCGGCCTCAGGCTGTCCACAGCAGGGCTGGTCTGCACGGACCCCGTCCTGGGGACTCCCTGGGTGGGAAGGGCCATTGGCCACATCCCCACCGTGGCCCTCCATGTAGATCTAGGTCCCTTCTGCCTTTTAAAGCATCAGCGTCATGTCTCTACAATCAATCTGTCCAGCACCGGAACTCTGTGATTCTGACACAGTTTATCATTCCCGGTATCTCTATTTAAAGCTTTCTAAAGACAAAAGCAAAGAAGACAATTATACGGATTGCAGAGACCAGAGAGTAAGAGTAACTTGGAGAGAAAGAGAAACTCAGAGCCAACAACAATGCAACATAAATAGCTCAGCAAGTATAGTGCAGTTTCCCAGTTAATAGGATGGCTTAACACCTGAATACATCCGCATGCCTGATTAAACACTAACAAACAAATACCCATACAGCAAGATTATAAGTTGTAATACGTCTTTGCTAGAAGCAGCATATTAATTAACACTGTTTATATACTTCCCCAATTACATTCTCTTAATCTTTCATTTAGAAAGCAATTTACATTATAATAGCCAGCATCCCTTCTGGTTTGAAAACAATTGATAATGTGTATATTGCCAAATTATGGGTCTACAGGATATTTTCATAAGTGAAAACAGCTGCACACAAAAATTTGAATGCTCTTTAACTGAAGAGTCTGGTGCCATAAAGACACATGGTCTAATGGTCATCTCTTCCCAATGAGTTAAAACATCCTATTTTTTCTTCTCAAGTGTTTTGGGAGAAGAGATTTATTCTATGGACTTGGAAACTCCCCAAATGTGAGCCTATTACAATTCCTCCTTGTTCTACCTCCTTTCCCAACTCCATGTCCTTAGGTTGGCAAAAAGGAGGCAGCTTACACAATCCAGTCCCCAAACTCTTGCTTGGAACAGGGTATGGGAAAGTGAGGAGGAAACAAACCAGATTTAAAGATGATTGGATGAAAACCAAGTAGTCATTCACTGTGTAACAGAATAACATCTGGGAGACCTGCCCAACTATGAGCAAGATGGAAAGAAATACAAGCAATTGTAAAAACATACTAAAACAATAACAATCAAAGAAAAAGAATAGTAGGCAAAAAGCCAACCAAAACAACACAGAAGAAACATAGCACAAGAGACAGAAAAAGTTCTCATGATTTTTCATGTTATGGAAAAACTAACACATTATAGAAAAGTCCAAAGATGAACAAAACACAATGGAATTAGATGCAGAGGGGATAATTCAATTGAGGGCCTAACAATATCATTAGACGTCACAGTTCAAAATAAGGAATAAAGCCAAGTGCGGTGGCTCACGCCTGTAATCCTAGCACCCTGGGAGGCCGAGGCGGGCGGATCGCTCAAGGTCTGGAGTTGCAAACCAGCCTGAGCAAGAGCGAGACCCTGTCTCTACTAAAAATAGAAAGAAGTTAATTGGCCAACTAAAAATGTATAGAAAAAATTAGCTGGGAATGGTGGCACATGCCTATAGTCCCAGCTACTTGGGAGGCTAATGCAGAAGGATCCCTTGAGCCCAGGAGTTTGAGGTTGCTGTGAGCTAGGCTGATACCACGGCACTCTAGCCCGGGGAAAAAGTGAGACTCTGTCTCAAAATTAAAAAAAAACAAAAAAAAAAAAAAACAAGGAATAAAGTAGATGCTTCAGGAAATTAAATGACTCACATGGACAAAACCACAGTGAATAGAGATGACAAAGGAGATACATTGATCAGCAAAAAGCTGATGGACATGGAAGGCAGACAAAGGAAGTCCCATATAAGGAAAACTGGTATCCCCAAGGCAAGAACCAAACACAGGATCCTGACAGTGCAGGCAAAGATACAAGATGAGAAAAATTCCTGAAACTAAAAGTTTAGATTTTCAGATCAAACATACTTTTTTCTGGGAAGTTTAATGGACAAGAAAAACATCAAGATAAATCCTAATTTTGCTACTGACTTCAAAATACAGAAAGAATACTTTAGGTGTTCAGACTGCAAAAGTGAATCACACGTCACAGGGGGCAGTAACCACACTGGCCCCAGACCCCTCCCCAGCAACAGTCAGCACTTCCCTGAAACTTCTGAGGTGTGTGGGGACTTTCTGCTCAATTTCAAGCATTAGAGAACTCTTGGATTATAATAGCCATGAGCCCATTTGAGGGGAAATATAATATTAATAACACCCAGTTAATTGATATTGAATCAAATGAGAATTTGAAGGTGGAAAAGAAAAGAATGTTTACAATATAAAATTGCGCTTGTAGTCCAAGCACTCTAGGAAACTGAGGTGGGAGGGATCGCTTGAGCTCAGGAGTTCGAGACCAGCCTGAGCAAGAGTGAGACCCCATCTCTACTAATAAGAGAAAAATTAGCTGGGCATGGTGGCACGTATGTGTAGTCCCAGGACTCAGGAGGCTGAGGCAGGAGGATTGCTTGAGCCCAGGAGTATGAGGTTGCTGTGAGCTAGGCTGATGCCATGGCACTCTGGCCTGGGTGACAGAGCAAGACTCTGTCTCAAAAAATAAATAAAATAAAATAAAATAAAATGTAAAAGTGCTTTCAGGTCCCCACATCAGCAATAAAAAATCAAAGAGCCAAAGGTCCCTGGCAGGCCAGTGTCTTTAGGGTCCTTACCAGGCCCGAGGGGTGCTGTTGATCTCATGTCCAGGACTCCTTCCTCATCGCTCTGGACCGCTGGACTGTCCAGCCAGGACCTCCTACCCAGTCTGGACCGGCTGCCCCACTCTGAGCCCTGGGCGTGGGGATTTGCCCAGGGATGGGATGAGAGTGACTCCTTGGGGTTTCTCCCTGGTGCTGACGGAAGAGACTCCAGGAGCTCTGGGAATATGCGCTGGGAGGAGGATGACAGGAGACGCAGCCACGTTCTCCACCTGCTGAGAAAGTCCAACTGCCAGGGAGAGATTGGGGCTGACGCTGAGAGAGAAGAGGCGAGAAGGGAGGCTGGACCCTGGGGCCTCCAGTCCCCTGTTCTTCATGGTCCTGGAACTGCCCAGACTTGGGGAGAGAAGGCAGGAGACCTGTGGCTATCAATCACCTGTTATTTAAGATCTCTTCCCTTGCTTCCACTTTCCCTCCTTTCCCTTCCCCATCCCACTTCCCCTCGCCTCCCCTCCCCTCCCTTCCTTTTCTCTATTTCTTCCTTCCTTCCTTCCTTCCTTCCTTCCTTCCTTCCTTCCTTCCTTCCTTCCTTCCTTCCTTCCCTCCCTCTTTCCTTCCTACATTTCAGACAGGGTCTCACCCTGTCTCTCAGGCAGAAGTGCAGCAGTGTGAACATAGCTCACTGTAGCCTTGAACTCCTGGGCTCAAGCAATCCTCCCGCCTCAGCCTCCTAAGTAGCAAGGACCACAGGTACATACCACCATGCCTTGCTGTTTTTTTAAAAAAAAATTGTGGAGACAGGGTGTCACTATGTTTCCCAGGCTGGTCTCAAACTCATGGCCTCAAGCAATCCTCCTGCTTCGGCCTTCCAAAGTGCTGGGACCACAGGCGTGAGCCCTGCACGCTGCCTGAGGACCCTCGCAACCTGCTGGTTCTGGCACTTGGCATGTGACCCAGTGAGCTCTGCAGTGTCCTTCTAATACATCTCTTTCCCCTGGAGAAGAGCTTGTTGGGCTTTGACTGCTAACACTGAGTCATGATTAGTGTCCTGTCCCTTCAGTCCTTGAGGTCCTCAGGATGGAGGACAACACCAGAACAGGGAATGGGAGAGAGAGGAGCAGATCTCTGTTACCTTAAGACCTCTGCCAGCCATCTTCCTCCTGCCCAGTCATGGACCCTGGACACAACCCCACCTCCAGGGCAGGATCCAGCTCACCTCCCAGTTGTGATGTCACAGGTCCCTGATGTTCCGCCGTGTCCTGGAGACCGAGGCTGGGCAGCCTGAAGACCTTCAGGAGGAGGCCTCTCCTTCAGCCGGAGGGAACATGGCAGCGAACCAAGGAGTGGGGACCTTTTACTTTGTCCTCCTGCTGTGCTGCTGGCACGAAGTTAAGACCTGGCACATAAGAAGAAATGCAGGTAGATCCCAAGTAGATAGTTTGGCAGATAGAAAACCATGGGCCTGAATCAGGTGGGTGACAGCCTTCTTCTCTCATGGGTCCCTCTCTGGTGTGGTTTGAGTGTGTCCCTTCCAAAATTCAGGGGATAAAACTAACAGTAACAGTACTAAGAGGTGGGGCCTTTAAGAGGTGATCAGTCATAGGGTTCCTCCCTCGTGAGTGGGATTAAGGTCCGTAGAAAAGAGGCTTCACACGGCCATCGGCTCTCTTGCCCTTCGGCCCGGGCAGCACAGAGTTCCTCCCCGCTCCTCGGGGCTCCCAACAGGCCTCGCCTTGGAAGCACCGGGCGGCCTTCACCAACCCGCCAGCACTTTGATCTTGGGCTTCCCAGTCTCCAGAACTATGAGAAATAAAGTTCTGTTATTTTAAAATTACCTGGCCTCAGGTATTTTGTTATAGCAACACAAATAGACTAAGACACCCCCTTTCCCTGCCTACCCAACTTTGCCATTGAACATTTATTCCTTGGGGAATGGAGCAGGTTGAAAACTTTTTCTAACTTTGAAGCCCTTTATAATTCCAGAACTCCATGGGTTGGTTTGCATCCATTATATATTTTAACTTTTTATTAATCTACAGAAATTTTCTAACTTACCTGAAGTAGAGGAAGAATCTCATGAACCTCCTTGTGTTTATCCTCCAGTTTCAATAATTGTGCACATTTTTCCACCTTGTTTTTTCTACATACACACACACACACACACACACACACTTAGGTCATTTTCAGGACTATTTTAGCACTGTCCCAGATGTCTTAGCACTTCATGTAAAACATTTTCTTGCTAACTGATAAAGGCATTGTTTTTATATATCCATAATATCATTATTACACTAACAAAATTAATGAAAATCCTTATAGCAACTTATGCCCAGCCCACATTGGACGTCCTCCCTGGTCTCGGAAGTCCTTCTGCAGTAGGTTGGTTTGATTCAGGACCCAAGCAGGGTGGGAGTGCCCTTGGCACCCATCCCTTTTGTTCTGACCACTGGTTGAGGGACAGGGGTTGTGGCACAGCTCCTAGACAGAGCAGAAGACTCGCAGAGCAGGTGGGCTCCCTGCCCTCGCCCCCCACCTGTCCCCATAGCAGAAACCAGAGACCAATGCTCAAGAAAAGTGGCCCAACTAGAGGCCCCACCCTAGCTCCCAAGGTGGGGTGGGAAGGTATTAACCGTCACCCTCAGGGCTCAGGGACCCACAGGGCTCAGGCCTCTCCCGAGAGCAGGGCACATAGGAGCTGGCCCGGGACTGGAACCTTCTCTCCCCCTTCTGCCTGCAATAATCCCGTGTCAAGCTGGGAGGACAGTCCGGCCCTGCCTCGGGCCTGCGGGGAAGGCAGCAGTCACCAGGGCCCAGCGATGTCATGAAAGAAGCCACCATTTCTGCAGAAACTTCATTCTGAGGTGCTCTGAGGGGAGAGTGCCCTAGAGGTGCTAGGGCCAGCACCCTTTTTTTTTTTTTTTGTAGATACATTTTTTAATTGTGTATGCCAGAGCCAAGATATCCCACTGATTCAACAGCAAAAAAAGGCAGGGGAATAGCTTTAACATACCATTATTTTACCCTATTACATTGTTCCAGTGAAAGACAACAAAGCCCATACAAAATGGGGACAGGCCTAGGACTTGAGTCCTCACCTGGTGCTGCAGTCCCCGGCCTGCTTGCTCCTGCCCACAGCTGTCCCCGCACAGCCCTCGCCCGTGCATGGGAACTGCCACATGCCCTGGTCAGGAGGACAACCAGCCACCCCCTCAGGCAGTTGATTTTGGGGTTCCCAGAGTCCTGGGAGACTGTAGGGATTTGAGGGTCTGAGCAGGAAAGAAAGGTCTGTCAGGAGCAGGGCAGGAGGCAGAGGGCTGGGCAGAGCGGGGACCCGAGGTGGCAACAATGGGCAGGGGAGGCTGGGAGGAGCCTATTTGGGGGTCTCGAGCCAGTCTGGGTCTCGGCCACTGACGCTCCGGATCATCTCATGAGGCGCGGGAGAGCCAGTGGGGTGGGCTGGGTGCTGGGTGGGACAAGCGGACCAGGAACTGGACCAAGTGTCCACTTGGATTCGGGGGAAGGGGGGTTCCACTAGGCTGACTCGCATGGATTCTTGCTAGAAACTGGAGACAGCGGCCAAGACACCCGGGGCCAGGGCAGGCGAAGAGCTGGTCAGAGTCACAGAGATCTCAGGGGAGCATCTCAGGGACCAGGGCAAGGCGAGTCTTGACAGACCCAGGCTACATTAGACGTCCCCCTGGGTCTCGGAAGTCTTTCTGCAGTTGTTGGTTCAACTCAGGACCTAAGCAGAGCCCAAGTGCCCTTGGCACCTGTACTTTTGTTCTGACCATTGGTTGAGGGACAGGGATGGTGGGCACAGCTCCTAGAGAGGGCAGAAGACACACAGAGCAGGTGGGCTCCCTGGCCCTGGCCCCCTGGGAGGCAGCCGCTCAGCCACCTGTCTCCCACCTGCCCCCCATAATGGAGACTAGAGCTCAAGAAGAGTGGCCTGACTAGGGTGCCCCTGCCCCAGCTCCCCAGGTCCTCACCGTCACTACAGGGCCCAGGCCTCCTGAGAGCGACACAGAGGAGCGGCCGCCAGGGCTGGGACCTACTCTTCTCTTCTGCCTGGACAATCCCCACGCGTCAAGCTGGAAGGACGTCCCGGGGCCTCGAGCCTGTGGGAGGGTGGCGGTCACCAGGCCCCGGAAATGTGATGAAAGAGCCAATGTTTTTGCAGAACTTCATTTGGAGGTGTTCTGAAGGGAGCGTTCCCTGAAGGTGCTGGGCTAGAGAGTTGGGGACAGGCTAGACCTCCATCTTCACCTGGTGCCACCACCTCCGGCTGCTTGCTTCTGCTCACAGCTGTCCCCCCACAGCCCTCGCCCTGTGCATGGGAACTGCCACATGCCCTGGTCAGGAGGACAACCAGCCACCCCCCCTCCCAGGAGCTGACCTTGCCCGGACAGATAGAACCTTAGGTGACTCTCAAGGCCTGCCCTGCCCGGAAGAGCAACTAAGGGACAGGTCCTACATCACGTTCTTAGGGGACATGGGGGTTCCTTGCTCTACTCAGTGTCTTCTGCCTCAGTGGGCACTTTTGCCACTGGCCACAGGAGTTGCCTTGACCACATGACGTGGCTTTCTGCACGTGGAGGTGTTGGCCCCAGGGGAGAAAGGATTGTGGTCCACATGGTCCTCATGGTCCACATGGTCCGTGGAGGCCAGTGTGCGCGTGATGCAAGCGTGGAGACAGAGCAAAGGGCCATCGCGACCTGGGGGCCCGAGCTACCTTAAAGCTCAGAGACCACCCGTAAGGGGGGGCACAGGGAGACGCTGGCACAGCGGCACACTTGACATGCTTAAAGACCACAGGGTGCTACAAAACCATAACTTCACTGCACATGCTTGCTGGCTGACTTGCACATACTTCCATTGATAATTATGGGACCGACACAAAATGAAAAGATATTTTTAAACAAAAGTGCTGCACGACGCAGCTGTACCCATTCCTTAATGATCATTAATGTTCTCCTCGAGGAGAGAGAAACTGTACTTTTTGTTTCATTTCCGAAGGTCAGACAGTGGAGCAATTGTCATCACCATCACGACCTTTTTATATTTTTCCGGCATTGTTCTAAGTGCGTGTGCGCAGATGAGTCCATTGGTATGCAGATTGTCCATCATTAAAACCATTTGGATCAGCTTTGTCATTGGTTTGTGCAGGAATTCAGATTCCTGCAGACACACCCGAAAGCTCTGTGCAGCTCAGAAGGGGAAGGTGCGGTGGCCCCAGAGCCTCGACTGGCGGCCGAGAAGAGGCTGACCTCGACCGTGACCAAGCAAGACCTGTGCCGGGACACTGAGAAGCCAACCTTAATGAGGAAAGCGTGGAACGGCGAAGGGAGACCAGTGGTGGATGCACCGAGGAGGAAAGCAGTGCTCAGAATTGAGGAGTTGCCGGTCACTCGTGCGGTTGACACCACAGGTCAGAAGCCCACGGATCCTGGGGATGCCTGGCATTTGGACTGTCAGTTCACCCCACAAACTCCGCCTCTTATCTGCAAGTGGGACCACCTGGAATTGCTTCGCTTACCAAAGAGGAGAATAGGGTGGCCGGTCTCTCTGATCCTCCATGAAGTGAGACAGCACCTCACGCTCTTTCTCCATTTCTCCAAACCGTATTTCCTAACTTTTAGATGCGTTCATTGTAAGAACCATTCTATTGAAAGGCAAACTTGGGCACATTAACATTTCAACAAGTTTATTGAGCATTCAGCAATTCAGGAAGCAGGCAGCTCCAGATGCCAGGTGGCTCAGTGCTCCACTGAGAGGACACAAGGGGAAAATTTGTATTTGGTGTTCTTAGAAGCAAGATGAAGAAAATATTTGACTGGGTAAAGTGGGATGCTCCTTGTTAGAGGTTAGTTGGTCATTTCTGATCAGTTAAGCTCAAGCTTCCTTTTCCTGTTTCTATTTAACTGGGCTTCAGTTTGCCTGGGTAGGGATCCAAGGTGCTACAGCCATCTCAGCATGATGGTCTCCTAATTAAGTATTCCGACAGTTCATAAAGGAGGTGAAAATGTTGCTTTTTACAAAAGGGAATGTGTGTCCCTCTTCCTTTGCTCACTCAAAATGGTCGAATGAGCCCAGTCACCCTTGAGACAAGGATGTTGTCTCTGCACATATGAGGGACAATTCCAGGGGCCATGAGGGCAGGTTCCAGCTCAGAGCACCTGGACAGATCGTCCTCCCTCCTCAGCCCATAGGTGTGCCCTTTCCTTATTTTCAAGATAGAAAGCCAAGTCCCAGAGAACCCCTCTAGCTGTCTCTCCCTGCCCACACCCACACATCTCTTTCCCCTTTGTGGCATCCCAAAAATCTTCATCCATGTAAAAGAAAAGTATGTACAAATTCAATTTACACTGTTAAACCAAAGGGTTTTTATTTCTCCCCTAGGTTCAAATTTTGAACAGCCATCAACTTTTAAAAACCTGGATAACAATATAACCACGGTATTTGGTAAGGAAACCCCTTGTATCACCATATCAACCTCTGGTCTACATGTGAAAATGGCTGGGTAGCTGTCATCAGGTGTTTCCTAAATAACCTGGGACAAGTAGCAGGCAGTGGAGAGAACAGACTTGGTTTGAGGCTAGACTCACATTTCCATGACCCATAGCTTTCGTGCCTACATCTATCAGTCAAACTCCCACAAAATTAAGAGAGAAGTAGAATTTTAGACCCTTAGACCTAAAAACCCCTTGGGAATCTTACTTCTCAAAGTGAACCTGCCTCTCTTGGGCCCTAGCATGGTCACTGCTCTGCAAGCAGGAGCGTGTCTTGCGGCAGCTGGGCGTCCTGTGTGGAGCAGATTGGTTCGCGCGGGCCAGGTCTGGGACCCCAAGCGAGGTTTGTTAGAGAGGGAGAGCTGCAGGCACGGCCCGCCCCCCTGGACAAGAGTGACCCGGCAATGTCATGGGAAACTGGGGGGGCTCGGCCCAGCAGTTCGGGCAGCGCCCAGGAGCACCCACTTGTTCGCACTGCTCAGCTGAGGGCCTGCCTCTGCCTGAGGGGTCCCGTCCGCCCTCGGGCGTGCCCTGTCACCCTGTCACCCTGCACGGTCTCGGCTGTGGAATCCTGCCTCTGTGCATGGCTGGCTGAGCGGACAGAGCCCAGGGACCCAGGCCGGGTCATCCTGACCCCCAGACCTGTGCAGCGTCTGGGACACAGTGGGTGCCCAATACATGCTCACTGTGCAAATGAATAGCCACTCTTCTCCAAGACCCACATCGACCCCGACACCCTGACTTCAGGGCCCTAAAACACCGAAGCCGGGGGCTTCCGCGCCACTGGCCAGCGGGCTCTCAAGGTGGACGCCGGTGCCGCCGGGCAGGACGGAGGCAGGGGCGGCGCTCGGCCACGCGGGCTGTGCGCCCGGTCACCAGCAGTCAGGAGGGAGGCGGCGCCTGGTCCTTGTCCTTTGGTCCATGTCCCCGAGGTCAGCCTGGCCACCCCTCAGGCTCCTGCCCGGTGGTCGTGGATGGCGTCCACAGCACAGACACCTCGCCCACTTCCAGGGCAGGAGGGGGGCACAGTGAGACACCTTTTCTCTCTTTTTCTATTACAGTAGATCTGGGGCGCAGGTGCAGCTGTGTTGTGTGGCCGTGCTGCGGCGCGGTGAGGTCCGGGCTTGAGGTGCGCCCTCACCTGAGCAGTGTGCACGGCGCCCATAGGTGGTTTTTCATCCAGCCCTCCCCTCCGAGTCCCCGGTGCCCGCTGTGCCGCTCTGTGCGGCTGCGGACACCCTGGACAATGCGCACGGCCCCTGAGACCCGGCGCTGCTTCGCCATTTCTCTTCCATCAGGAGAAGCAAAATCCCGCAGGGCCGTGGGCTCCTGCGTACCTCTGCGCGTCCTGTGGCCACGCGGCTGCAGGGGGCTTGAAAGTGCGCCCAGGGAGCACGCCTTGCCCCCCGAATCCGGTTCTGCGGGCGAGGAGGGAGGAGCGGTGGCTGCTGGGTAGGGCACCAAGAGCCAGCGGAGGAAGCGTTTTCCTCACGTGTGTTGGTGACATCTCCGTTCCCAGTGGCATTTTTGATCTCCTCCCCTGTGCTCACCAGTCCTGCTTGAGCAGTGCCGGGGCGACCAGCGTCCACTTTGCTGGGGACCAAGGGGCTCTGCATGCAGGACTTCCTGAGCTAAAGCCTGGGTCCCAGGCAAACCAGGACGGGCTGGTGCCCGCGGGGCTGCAGGCTGCGCTGTCCAGCACTGCGGCCCGGTGGGGGTTGGTGGCACCTTCACGCTGCAGAGTTGGTGGCAGGTCTCCACGGCCATTTGTTTAGCTTCCTCCGTGTCCAGGCACCGTGTTGATTGCTTTCTGCGCTGCACAGGCCCACGAGACAAATAGCCCATTTTACAGAAGGAAGCTCAGGGCCACAGACGTGAAGGGACCTGTCCACGGTCAAGTTCTGGTGAGAGCAAAGCCTGGGTGTGGGCCGGGTCTGCCGGTCACAGTCCAGGACTCTGTGTCAAGAGCTTCCTCGGAGAGGTCATAAGGACACCAAGGGAGAAAGTCAGGCCTTGTGTTGTGGAAATCAGGAGAGACGCGCATTCCTACGCGAGGACAGCGTGGGGAGAGTCTCAGAGATGGGACAGACAACCACCAGCAGGACAGAGGGTTACAGCCACGTCTGGGCCAGGGGTCCAGCGTCGGATCTCTAGGGGGCTGCGCTTGTGGTCCAGGGTGTCCGCACGGTCTCGGTTCTTCTGAACATGCTCAGGGAGACAGCAGCCTGCCCACCCCAGACAAGGTTCTCTAGAAGGTCAAGTCCCAAATCCACTGAGCTCCTTGAGTCCCCGTTTCTATTCACCGAGTTCGCAGACACCTTAGGTGCACGCTGAGAGAACGGTGTCAGCCCCGCACGGCTGACTCTAACGTGTTCTTGTTCTTTTCCCAAGATGAAATTCTAGCCCAGGAGATTTTGCATCCGAATAACCCAACATTTTTTGAAAAACAAAAACCACTAACAACACCACCAGGAACAACAAACAAAAAAAGCAAGTATATCTTTTTTTAACCCTATAATTCCATGTATTCCTAGAGGTCTGTGGTATTGAGTACTTGATCCTATCATCTTAGCATTCTTTTAGACCAGCTATTTCTGGGGCAAGTGCAAATAGAGATGTGAAAGAAACAGTTGCCCAAAACCATTTCTATGGACTTCCCAAGACTAAGGAAGTCAAACCTAGACAGGCAGGGGTAAAGCTCCTTTATTCTGGGATGAGCTCTGGAGCACGCATTCAAGCGCATTCCGGTGCTCAGGAAGTAAATGGAGTTTAGCCACTGCAGGAACACGAGGCGCATGTAAGATAAGACCTTTGAACTAATCAGCACCTTATAGCTCAACATGCATGACCTCATTTGGGGCTCACCAATGGTTTCTGAGAGAGCAGGGCAGTTATTGTTACCTCATTCGACAGAGGGAGAAACTAAGGTCAAACGACTGCCTTGCCCAAGGCCACACAGTGAGTAATGAACAAAGACAAAGAATGTGCTTTTCCCAAGTGCAGCTTCACAGTGTCAAAATTGTGCGTAAGTAAATAACACGCACGCTGAGAATCAAGACAGAGTATTTGATCAACAGTTCACAGAGGGAGAACAGAGCATGGACATGCAGTTAGCATCAGGAAAGTTCAGCATTTTCTTGGCATTTTGCATCCAGATGTAAATTCTCATTCCTAGGGTTAGTTAGTTCACCCAACATCTGCCGAGGCCCGAGCTGCTGGGCTCAAGGCATTCAGATAAGGCCTAAATTTCTTTTTATAGATTAACTTCCTAATGCACATTTTCAAACAGAATTTGAAAACTACGTTATAATTCCAATTCAACATTGTAAAATAAAGAACGGGCCAAAAAATGTTTACAAGTGTGTAATCAAGAAAACTTTCCCAACTTTTTTCATGTTCTTCCTCAAAGAAGTCCATATTAAAGAGAATTATCATACCACTGCTCTTAAGAAATATCAAGAAAATCAACTCTCTTCTGGAAAACAGGCAGACTTTTCTTTGATGGTAAATGCAGCCCGGCAATGACCCTGCCTGAGTTCAGGCGTAACGGGAGCGATAGGAGTGAGGAGGTGCAGCGGAAAGGTCTCCTTTGTGGAGGGCAAAATGCTTGGGTGGAGAACGTGGCTGCTTCACCAGAGTTAGGCAGTTTCCCAGGTCTCTGTCGGGCTGGGGAACCCCAACTCCCCCACCCCCTGCCTGTCGAGCCCCCTGGAAAACCGCAGCCCGGGGGGCACAGCCGAGGTGCTGCCTCACAGGTGGGCAGTCGCCCAGAGCGAGAGGACAGCGCTGCCTGGTCCCTTCCCCCAAACCTTCAGCCAAGTCACTTCTCCCCTGGAGGGGGGGGCGGGGCAGGCAAAGGGAGCCAGAGTGTCCCCCCAGGGTCTCCCCCAGGAGTGAGGAAAAGCCTCCCTCCAACAGATGAGTTTGCTGGAACAACCAGTGTGTCAAAGCTCAGAGGTGAGAAGCTTGAACTCCATGGGGGTGAGACATGTTCTCTTAACCTAGAGATTAAAAACGAGAAAGGACACATGTGCATACGCAGGACATACATGAAGGACATCTGTGGTGCACCCTACATGCAGGACCAAAGCCTGATGGTGCGTCAGGTGCAGGGAGGGGATCTTATTAGATACAAAGTCCAGGCCCTCGAGCATCTCTGCAGGGGCCCAGGAATGTGCATTTCCATCCATCCCCCAAACAGTCCTTTCCAGGGAGCAGCCTCTGGTGTTTGGAAGGACTGAACTAGATATTTTCCCAGCTTAAACAAGAATGCAATTCTACCTAAATCTAATATTTCTAATACCTCTGAATTTTTCCCATTCATTGATTTGCACAAATTGCCTAAGGGTTGTAAGTTAAGCATAGTAGGGCATCTTTTCAGTAGCAGGTTCCATGGTAGGTGAGGTTACATGTGTTAAGGGAAAAGAACCCAAACTCTGTAAAATAATTTAAAGAGGTTCATTCTGAGCCAAATATGTGTGACCATGGCCCAGAGACTCATGCCCAAGAAGCCTTGAACAACTACTGTTGCCGTGGTTGGGTTACAGTTTGCTTTGATACATTTTAGGAAGACAAGAATTACACATAAAATCATAAATCATAGAAGGTATAGACTGGTTTGGCCTGGGAAAAAAAAGGGACGTGGAGGTAGGGCTTATAGGTTGTAGATGGTTTAAAGATTCTTTGATTTGCATTTAGTTAAAGAAATGAAGCTTTGTCTAAGTACTTGAAATGTTTTAAGTTAAGGATGTCTGCTAATCAGAGACAAGCCACTGGACATATACCGAGTGACCAGTTAAGTACATCGGTGGCCTGCATGTGTGGTTTAAGCTCTGTCTTGCATGGCCTCAGGTGTGTTAATGGTGAGTATCTTATTCTTACAAAGAACAACCCCAAAAGGTGGGGTGCATATGTAATAAGGGAAGTCTAACCTCCCTTCTCCTCGTGGCCAGCAACTCAGCCTTAAAGTTTCTCTGGGGTTCCCTTGGCCAAGAGGGTCCATTCAGTCAGTGGGCTGGGGGCTTGAGACTTTATTTTAGTTCCCACAGGCAAGTCTGCACCGAGAGCAGTGCGAGTCTCCTCTCGGCTCAATCTCTCTGCAAGGAGCCCATTGAGCTCGGAAGGAGCAACAGAAAATAAGAAAAGACAGACCCTGAGGCAGAGGCTGAGGACGGCCGGGTGGGGTCTGGGGAAGCAGAGGAAGGGCCAGAGGGATCCTGCAGGGCCCTGGTGCCGCGCCACCCTCAGAGGGAACACGCTGAGCAGCCCGCAACGCCGAGCTTGCCCCAGTCCCCGCGCCTCCCAGCGGGCCGCGTCCTAGAGGCTGATCAGCGGCCTCTGTGCAGAGCCCTCTGCCCGCGCAGCTGCTGAAGCAGTGGGCGGCGGAACAAGGACAGCAAGGGCACTGAAAATCATTGTGAGGCTACTTTAGACCCAAGGAGGCGCTGTGCGGGTGCCAGAGTTTCCGCCCCTTCCCTAGCATCCGCGAGTCAGCATCTTCCGACACTGCCACTTGAGAACCTGGGGCCTCATTCAGTTTTCCCAGTCAGTCTGCTCATGTCTCCTCCTGGCTTCAGAACCCAACCGCGATTCCACTTGTCCTGATGCCTTCGCCCCCTCCGGTCTAGAACCTGCCTCTTCTGTCTTTGTCTTTGACGACCTTAAAGAGTCGCCTGGTAGAATCTCTTCCAATCTGGATTTGTCTGAATTTTCCCCAAGCCTAACCCCAGGCTGCGCTTGGGCAAGGGCATTGCAGAAGCCGCGCGCGCCTTCCCGTGGGCCGCAGCAGGCAGCGCGTCTCGGTGCCGGGAGCGGCTTTCGGTCCCTGTGTATCTGCCAGGTTTCTCCACAGTTGAGTGTTTGCTTCCTTTGTAAATAATTACTATCTAATGCGGAGATACTCTCAGACTATGCCAATGTCCTATTTCTCATCCTATGTTCACCCACTGATTTAGCAGCCATCAATTCTTGACTGCAAAAATTAGGACGCTGGCATTTGCCAAAAGGTGATTTTCTCTTTCCAGTCTTCTTTCTGCATTAATTGGTTAAAATTCTGCGAGAAAGAGCTGTCCCTTCTCCTTCTTTTACTGATGTGTTCATTCCATTATACGTTCTGTCAGTGTAAACTTGCTGACATTTGCTTCATCCCATGGGCTGCAAACCACGCATATTCATTCGAAGCCCCGGTGCTCTCAGTTTCACTACTGAGAGTGCTGGTGTCCGTCCAGCATGCTGCCATCCTCTCTGGGTGCTTTTTTTTTTTGAGACAGAGTCTCACCTTATTGCCCAGGCTAGAGTGAGTGCCATGGCGTCAGCCTAGCTCACAGCAACCTCAAGCTCCTGGGCTCAAGCAATCCTTCTGCCTCAGCCTCCTGAGTAGCTGGGACTACAGGCATGCGCCACCATGCCCGGCTAATTTTTTATATATATAATAGTTAGCCAATTAATTTCTTTCTATTTATAGTAGATACAGGGTCTCACTCTTGCTCAGGCTGGTTTCGAACTCCTGACCTTGAGCAATCCACCCGCCTTGGCCTCCCAGAGTGCTAGGATTACAGGTGTGAGCCACCGCGCCCGGCCTCTGGGTGCTTTTGTACATTCTGGCACCACAACTCCAGGCTCCTCTCGTGATATCCCTGCCCTGGCCCTGGAATCAGCTGCTTCTCTAAGAAGTCCTGGTTCCTGTTAATGGAGAACAGAGTTAGAAACCAAGATCTGGGGCCAGGTGTGCTCATTGCTACTGGGGTGCCCCTGCTTCTAGGCCCTGGCAACAGACAGAGCTAGGAAAGACATGTGTGTGCAGATTGATTTCTGTGTATAATTGTACTGACACTGGACACCAGGAGTTCAAACTGATGCCTTAGATTGCAGTCCTACACCAGTGGCTCATCCTGACTTTGCCCTTTACTTTTCACTGCGGGAAACCTGGCTCTCATTATCCACAGCATTTCACCAATTTTCTCAGTCCTTAACCACACAGGAGGTAGTTTCAGAGCTGCTGAGGCATAGCCCTGCAAAAACAAATTCACTCACTAGAGGACAAGTCTTGTGTATAGACTCTTGTTTTTAGTCTTCCAGTATATAGTCAAATATTTTCCAAAGTTCCTTGTTTGTTTCTTTCTTTTCCACTCCCTTCAGTGTGGTTATGTTATTTACTTCCAATATTCCATGACATGACCATGGTTCTAACCCCACCTCATTCCTCTAACGCCACCCCAATCCACATTCTTCCCACCTGTTCCCACCTGCTTCCTGCAGGACCCAGGCTCAGTGCTTTCTGACTTACCTTCCTGTATTTCCTTGTGCAGAACTGAGCAGGTGCACATGTATTTTCTTATATCCTCTTCTTTCTTACATGAAAGCACACTAAAAACATTCTTTTGCATTTTTCTTCCTATTTTAACCTAACAACATACACTGTAAACCACTCTGATAGTTTTGACAGTTGCATAGTTTACTGTTGCATGGACATGTTAATACTACAGCTTATTCAACCACTGTCCTATGCATGGTCATTTAGATAATTTCCAATATTTTACAATAACGAAAACAATGCCATGATGGGTAATTTACGCATACATATTTTTGTATTGTTGGAGGTGTGTCTTCAAGGCAGATATCTACAAGTGGGTTGCTGAGTTAAAAGATAAGTGCATACGTTTTTGTGTTAGAACCCCCAAATTCTCCATCTGGAGGTTGTACTGGTTTGCATTCCCACTGGCCGCACATGTGAGCACCTGCTTCCCCACAGCTTTAGCTGCAGAGTAAGTCATCACCCTTTTCCACTCCTGTCAGTATGATAGTTGAGAAATGCTATTTCAGTGCTGGTCTAATTCACATTTCTCCTATGTATGGTTGGGTTGAACATCTTCTCACATATTCACAATTAATTTTTATGTATTTTTGTGAACTATCTGTTGACATCTTTTTCTCATTTTTCCAAACTTTAATTTTTAAGGATACTTTCTACATGAGGTATTTTAGTCTTTTGTCTGTGATCTGTGTTGCAAATATTTTCTCTCAGTCAATTGCTTTTGATATTGCCTGAGAATTTATACATACAGGCTTGTGGAGGTTTAGGATTTCAGTTGGTCTCGTTTGCATGTTCTGGCCAAGTTGAGAAACAAACATAGTGACTTGTTGTATACTTGATGGTGAATAGAGCAGAATTGAACAGTTTGAACCAGAACATAAAAACAAATATGAGCTTTGAGGGACAGTGCCCCAAGAGTGAGGGTGAATCAGTCAACATAAAAATAGCAGTATTAGGCTGCAAGGAAGAGGCCATGGGGCAATCTCAGGAAGTGTAGAGTAAGTGCACCTCCAGACATTTGTTTCCATTTAGGATGCAGAAAGCTGCAAAGAACAGTGCTCCCATTCTAACAACGAGAAAAAGACAGAGAATACACAAGACCACAACTTTTCTTGAGCCTAGCAAAAAGCTGAGGTCAAAAGGCAGCCAAATGGCTTGAATCCCTGAAAGAGACTGGCATCTCCAAAGAGATAGGAGACGTGAGGACTCACTCACCTTTGGCAGAGCACAGGAAGGAAAGGCAGCTTTTAATCAGTGGGTGAGAAGAAATCAGCAAGGTTTTGGCTAATTCCAAAAGGCCAAGTTTTGACTAGCTGAGCCACAGATTCAGGGGACTTTACACTCTTAGGCCTCCCTGAGGACTGGAGCCTGAGCAGGAGACCAAAGGAGGCCCTTGGCTGGGAGCTCAAGCATATAGGACGTGACTGGACATGGAAACCAAGCAGGGAGCCTGGCCCAGGTCCCAGAGTCTTCTGTTCCAGCACTGGGAGAGGGGAAGTCTTCATACCCCAGGACATAGGCCAACACCCATTTCTTCTGGAAAAAGGGAAAAAGTAAAAGCCTCTGCCCCAGAGAGAAAAGTAGCAAGCACTAATTCTCTTGGGACATGAGCAAAAACCCACTCTTGTGGGAGGAGTTACAAAATTAAAACCTTCTACCCTGGGAAAAAGAACTAGAAATTGTCTTGGGCCCCAGACTCTACCTTAACCCTACAGAAGTTGTTTCATAGATTCCCTAGGATTTCTTTATGTAGATAATCATATTTATAAATAAGGACACTTTTACTTCTTACTTTCTGATACATTCACAACTTTTTTTTATTTCTTGCCTTACTGCATTTGCCAGTACCTCTAGCATGACTTTGAATAAAAGTGCCAAAAGTAAGCATCCTTGGCTTCTTCCGGATCTCAATAGGAAACAATTCTGTTTGGTTGCCATTAAGTATGATGTTGGCTGGAGGTTTATTGTAGATGCACTTTATCAGTTTGAGAAAGTTCCTACTATTCTTATTTTGTGGAGAGTTTTTAGATGAATTTTGTCAAATTATTTTTATGCATATATGGAAATAATTATGCAGTTATTTTTCTTTCTTATGTTAAAATGGTAGATTACACCAATTACTTTTTGTATGCTGAACCAACCTTGCATTCCTGTGATAAACACTAATTGGTCATGATGTATTATCATTTTTTTGTTTGTTTTATTTAACTGCAAATATTTGCTAGGTATTTTTTGCATCTATATTCAAATAATTGTTAAGAATTTTGCATCTATATTCATGAGGAATATTGATCCATTACTTTTTTTCTTTCTTTCTTTTTGGTATTGTTGTCATCATATTTTGGTAATAGGGTTAAGCTAGCTCCACATAACAAGTTGGGTGATCATACCTTTTTGTTTTCTGTAAAAGTTTAAGTAAGAATGGTATTATTTCTTGCTTAAATGTTGTATAGAATTCACCAGTGAAACCATCCAAGCCTGGAGTTTTATTTTTCTGGAAAGATTTCTTATAACAAATTAAAAATTTTAAATAGCTCTATGGACATTGATTTTTTTTGTTTGTTTCTTTAATTTGGTCAGGGTGGGCTCCTTCACCCTCCTAGTGACTGGGGGCTGCAGGTGAGGGTCTGGGTGCCAATATCACATAACTCTTCCATATGGGCACATGGCGGGGCCTCCTGCAGTCTTTGGTCTGTGCCCACCATGCCAGGGTGGCCAGCCCAGGAGTGCCCATCAGAGTGTTTGATTATGACTCTTCCCTTGAGGATCAGTGTGACAGTTTGAACCACAGGAAACTGCTATTTGTGTAGGTCAGAAGGACCCAGGGCCCACAACTCGTCCTGGCCCCACCCAGCCCCTGGACACAACCAGGGTGTCTGCTCCCCTCCACCCTGAGGAGTCAGCCCCACAGGGAGGTGTCCGCTTTGCTCCCTGCACCCACCACTCTCAAGGAACACCCGGTTCTGCTGGGGCAGGTGCAGAGGGTTTCTTGTGTTGAATGCCCCTTTCCAACTCCCACTCTTCCTCATCCTCTCGAAACAGACACACCAACACCCAGCACACGGCTGGTACTGACTTGCAGTCGGTTCTGTGGTCACTTGTTCCACAAGTAGCACACTTCCAAGTTTCTTGGTCCTCACTCTTCAGGGCTAAATTGCGTTCTACCACCGACTTCCCCAAAGATGGAAAGTACAGACTCCAACCGTTGCCCTGGGATCCACACCTTTGGACGAGGCAGAGAAATTTCAAGGTGGGGCTCCCAGGAATGCCAGCCACCACAGTAGGGAAGGCTCCATGGAAACTCACTCACGCTGTCTCCCGGGCCAGATCAGTTTTATTACACTATGGAAAGGATTAATAGAACTTATAATGTAGTTTCTCCTTTTTCTGATGTTTGATCTTTTTTGGCATAATCTTTTATATTTGGCTTCTTAATAAAATCCATCATATTCTAACAGATGATCCATGAATGGTCTCAGAAGATAAAGGAAAAGAGGCAAGCAGTTGTGACCTGTTGTACACTTAATGGTGAACGGAGTGTTTGCTGTATACCCTTAGATTCCGCCAGTCCTCTGGCACCTGTCAGGGCTGATGAGGAACAAAGTTCATGGCGGGACGTGGGGTTTGGGGAGGGTTGAGGCTGACAGCCCGGGGTCTAAAGCCAGGTGGCCTGGCTGAAAGGGAACTAGAGTTTGGAATTAAGCCATAATTGTCAAATCTTGATCATTGCCCTTCATTTTTCCCACAGAAGAGGAGGCAGAAACAATGTATCAGATTAAAAGCCTAGGAGCTACAGAAAAAATCATTCACAACCTTCGAAGATCTTTAGGTAAGTGAAACTTGAAACCCTACTGCTGGCAGATAGGTGTGGAGAATCGCTCCTCATTTGGGCCTGGCGGGGAGAGAAGTAAACATTCAGGGGACAGGTGTGTCTCTGAACAGCTCTGACTTCGAGAAGCCAGGTTTAGTCCCAGAGCCACAAAAGCCTGGGCCACGTGGCAGCCCCTCCTTTTCCTCACACACAATTTCTAAGAAAATCTCCTCTTTCCAATAGGAGAAAGTCTGAAGCGAAAAAGAAGGCTGCACAAAAGTATGTTGACAGCCAGCTACTATAAGGAGAAACCGAGCCTGGACTAATAACTAAGATCACCTGAGAAACCATGCACACTCACTCCCATTCTCAACGATAAAAATGAAATAGAATTACTAACCATTTTGTAAAAAGGAAAATTGTTTTATTCAAGGAGTTCCAAATAAAATTAATCTATTTAAATATTAAGTCAGAGGCAATGTGGTTGTTTTCCTTACAAAAAAGAAATGAAAATCTAATTAAGCCAGAAAAGTACCAGTGTCCAAAGCTCTTGGCTAACAGGATGGGCTTTGAAGAAACGTAAGCTTGGAGCCTGTGTATCAATCAGGTTTCTGCAGAGAAACCAGCAGGGGCTGTGTGTGTGTGTGTGTGTGTGTGTGAGTGTGTGTGTGTGTGTGTGTGTGAGTGTGTGTGTGAGTGTGTGTGTGTGTGTGTGTGTGTGTGTGTGAAGAGGTTTATCACAAGGAATGGGCTCGCGTGGTTGTGGAGGACGACAAGACCCAAGACCTGCAGGCTACAAGCTGGAGACTCAGGAGAGCTGAGGCTTCAGTTCAAGTCCAAAGGCAGGAAAAAGCCCAGCCCCAGCCCTAGGCTGGAGGCCCAGCCTCTGTCCTACTCAGGCCTCCAGTGGTGAGGATGGTGTCCACCCACCCCAGGCAGGCACTCTGCTGTCCTCAACCTACAAATTCAGATGTTGGTCTCCTCCAAAACGCCCTCACAGAAACACCCAGGATAAGGTTTGACATATGAAATTAACAATCACAGCCTGCAATAAACCATGTCTATAAAGAACAGAGTCTATGAAGGCCTGGAAGTCCTCCCTCTCATGCCTCTCCCCTGCTGCAGCACCTTGCAAAACACACATGCACGTGTGCAAAATGTGGGCACACTGGAAACTTCACTGTCTCGTGAAGCTCAGGAAGTGCTCCCTGGGCCCGTGTGGTGTGGGATGAGACGCCTTCCAGGGGGTGCACATGGGTGGACTCCCCTGGGGCTCTGCTTCTGCATGGCAGGCTATTCACCAGCACCATCCAGACTCAAGGGCTGTTCAGTATTTTGAACTGAAACCAAGATCTACAGAGGAGAAAAAAAAGCCTTTGCAATCCCTAGAAAAATGACCCACTTTCAAGTAATTTTCAATGCATTGAAATTCCAGTTTACCAAAAGGAAGTAGGTTGTGATTGGGAGAAAATGGAAAGTCCTTCGGGAACTGGTAAAGCATTTGTACAAATAAATCTTGTCATCAGTATTTTTGCAGCAAAGAATTGAACAGAGCAGCATTTTCTGAGGAACAACAAGAACCTTTCTTTCAGCAACTGTTTTTATGCACAAACTGGTTCTGGCTCTAGTCAAGCTGTTGACGTGGTCAGGCCTGGAGAGTGTCATTTGCATTAACATGTGTGATTTTCCCATTGCTCCAGAAAGGCAGGTTTGGAGAAGTTCGTGAGTCACGCCTTAGAGAACTTCTGCTCTCTCTGTGTGGTCCTCGCAATGGGCTGGTTCTTTCTCAAAGGCCACTTCCACAGGCAGTGCAAATTGAATCAAACTATGCATTTTATTTGTCATCGCTGGCTGTGCGTCTTCTTAGGAAAGGACTGAGGGACCAGAATCAGAGAACGTTTGTGCTGGAACATTCCAGGCCTTCAGTCCAACCTCTGATTCCAGATGAGGAAACTGAGGCAGAGAGGACGCACGACTGGACAGTCACTGGGTAAGTTGGTGGCAGCACAGGATGCAAATATTTCTGCTCCCAACACTGTCCTGTGTCTACTAAATAATTCTGTGGTGTTTTATCAATAAACGGATTAACAAATGGATATTTCAGTTAATGAATATTTAAGTGTAAGGGTTGTGTTTTTGTTTTTGTTTTTGTTTTTTTGCTTTTATACTTGACTTTCAAGGAACATTTTTAGGGCTCATGGTGATTTATACATCCAGTCCTCACAGCACTGCTGACGTGTCACCCCCACTTTCTGTGATTGGATCTGAGGCCCAGAGATGTTAAGCAACCTACTCATCATCATGCTACCACACAGCCTACAGTCAGTATTCCAGCCCAGCCCTTCCAACCCAGAGGCCAGGGCCTTCCCACGAGATGTCTTTAAAATCATGACCACATCACTGTTCAGGACATTTTGATGTAGTCAGTTTTCCCCCAAGGAGTACTTTGACCCAGAAGCACTGCCCCAGATAAGACAAAACACAAAAATATTCCTTTCACTATCTTGCTATGGGTTGAACTAGTAGCTTGATGTTTTCCTTTTCTGTTCTTCCTCTGAACCTTATAATATGTCTCATTACAGTCATTTTCATAACCTAAAACTTTAATGATTTAATATTTTGGCCACATAAAAATGTGTGTGATCTAAGTGACAGTATCAAAAACAGCTGAGTGGACATGCTGTGATCCTGGCAGATAACCAAATTTCCATTCTCACCCAGTAGCAATGAGACTATGCTGGTCACAGCCAATTTCTGCCCGGCCCCCACCCCAGCCCAGGCCAAGGGCCCCCCTGCAGGGAACTGAACACCCACCCTCACCCACACCTACGTGCAACACAGAAATAGGGCAACTCCCTGTCCAGAAAGATCAAATAGGCTCCAGGGTCTCATGACATGACACTCAAAATGTCCAGGGTGTATATTTTAACAATCACTGAATATACCAAAAAGCAGGAATCACAACTTGAATAAGAAAAGATAATCCACAGCTGCTGTAGGAGGTTGAATGGTGGCCCACAGAAAGAGAGGCTATGTTCACATCTTGTGTTGTTACCTTCAGCTCAGGATTCTGAAGTTTTGTGATCCTGGATTATCTACAGGATCCTAAATTCACTGACACACGTCCTCATAAAAGAAAGGTAGAGGGAGCTTTGAGTCAGAGAAGAGGAGAGAAGGACATACAAAGATGGAGACAAGTCCAGGAATGTTGACAGACACCAAAAGGAGAAGGGCAGTAATGTAATTTCCCATACAGTCTCTGGAGAGAGCACAGCCCTGCTGACACCTTGATCTCTATCTTCTGGCCATCGAAACTGTGAAAGAATATATTTCTGTTGTTTTAAGCCATACAGTCTGTGGTACTTTGTTATGGCAACCCTAGGGAACAAATACAGGTGTCAGCACTAAGGTGATAAGGTGCTAGAATTATCTGACAAGATTTAAAAGCAGCAATTTTAAAAATGCTCCAATAAGCAATTACAAATACTCCCGAAACTAACAAAATAGAGGAAATCTCAGCAGATATAAATGAGAAACAAATGCAAATTATAGAATTGGAAAGAATTTTAAACAAAAAATGCTTTAAAAGTTCACTGGAAACACTCAATAGCTAATGGAGATGACAAAAGGAAGAACCTATGATCTCAAAGAACAATCAATAGAAATTATCTACCAGCCTGGGCAGTAGTGAGACCCCATCTCTACAAAAAATAATAATAATAATTAGCAGGGTGTGGTGGTGCATACCTGTAGTCCCAGTTCCTGGGAGGCTGAGGCAACAGAATCGCTTGAGCCCAGGAGTTTGAAATTGCTGTGAGCTATCATGATACCACGGCATTCTAGCCTGGCCACAGAGTGAGACCCTGTCTCAAAAAAAAAACTAATAATAAAAATGAAGTCCATTTTATCTGATATGAGAATGTCTACTGCTTGATTTTGGTTTCCATTTTCAGGGAATATTTTTTCCCATCCCTTTACCTTGAGTCTGTGTGAGACCTTGTGGTTTAGATATGTTTCTTAGAGACAGTAAATGCTTGGGTTGTGCTTCTTCATCCATTCAGCCAGTCAATGTCTTTTAAGTGGGGCTTTCAGACCATTTGTGTTGGGTGTTAGTATTGATATGTTTTATGCTGTTTTGTTCATCCTGTTGGATGACACCTTATTTTTTTGTTTTCCTTCTTGTGCTATTATTTTGTAAGAGCTGTGAGCTTTATGTTTTGGGTGTTTTTACACTAGTGAATATCTATTGTAATGAACATTTCAGCATTTCCTATAGGGCAGATCTAGTAGTGATGAGTTCCATTAGTGTTCACTTGTTTGAAAGATTCTTTGTTTCTCCATCATTTATGAAACTTAGTATGGCAGGATACAAAACTTTTGGCTGATAGTTGTTCTGTTTAAGAACACTAAATCTGGGGCCCCAATTCTTTGCAGCTTATAAGGTCTCTGCCGAGAAATCTGTTAGCCTGATAGGTTTTCCTTTGTAGGTTAGTTGTTGCTTTTGTCTTATGGCTTGTAGAATTTTATCCTTCATTTTGACTTTGGGCAGGTTGATGAATATATGTCTTTGAGATCTCCTATTTGCTATAAATCTTCCTGGTGTTCAATGACCATGTTATATCTGGATATCTGAATCTTTGGCAATATGAGGAACATTTTCCTCAATAATTTTCTCAAATAGGTTTTCCATGCTTTTTGCTTTTACTTCTTCTCCCTAAGGGATACCTACAAATCGCATATTGGCTTGTTTCACATAGTCCCATATTTCTCTGAGTTCATTCTTCTTTATTATTTTTTCTGCATCTTTGACTGACTTAGTTTGAAAGCCTTGTCTTCAAGCTCTGAGATTCTTTCTACTGCTTGGTCTAGGCTGCTGCTGAAGCTTTATACTGTATTTTGTAATTACCTAAATGACCCTTTCATTTCTTTAAGTTCTGTTATATTCTGTCTTATGTTGTCTATCTCTTTAGCAAGTTTTTCATATTTTTCATTTATGTCCTAAAATATTTTTTTTGGTTTCTTTATGTTGGTTTTCAACTTTCTCTTCAATCCAGTTCAATTATTTGCCATCTGTATTCTGAATTGCACCTCTGACATTTCATCAGTTCTCTTTTCGTTAGGATCCATTACTATAGATCTATTGTGATCCTTTGGGGATGTCAAACTAGTTTGTTTTTCCATTTTACCAGAATTCTTTTGCTGGTTTCTTCTCATCTGAAACAACTTCTCTCAGCTCAGGGCTGATAGGTTTGCAGTGGACCTGTTCTTTGCTGGGAACTCTCCTATTAGTGAGAAGGAAGTGAAGTCCCCAGAGAGTGCTGTTGTGTCCTACTCTGGAGGATTGACCCAGCAGGAGAAAGATAGATGCACTGAGAGCCTGTCATGCAGCTGTTCTGTGTCATCCCATTCCCCTGTGGTTATCACAATCCAAGCCAATACTGAGGGAT